AAGCTCTGTGCATTCTCCAAGTGTGTTTCTTAAGTTTTTGGGCTAACATGATACAGAGCACTTTTTGATAATTTGAGTAAAACAAGAGACTGACTGTGTTGCTCAAGCTAAAAATACATAAATTTTCAGAATTCTTCTAAATTGAATTTGAAAATATACACAAATGGGTAACTTGCCAAAGCTGCCTTTACAAAGGCAACATCAAGTTTGTATTGAAAAATGACTCCATATGGAGATGTGTGTCTTTAGAAACCTCCTTGTCTTACACAGGCATTCACCCAACATTAGTGACTAACGAATGTGAATTAAAGACTTGTTTCTACAAAAGGTTCTAGGCGCTTACATCATACCCCCTCCTTGGCGTGAAAGAGTGTTTAGCCCTAGGGAGTGGGTAAGTTAGCGCCCTGATGATTAACTCATTAAACTTGGTTATATCAATAACTTCTCCATTGTTATGGTGAAGATGAGATCTAGATTATATATATATAATGACTCCTTTTTTAAACAATCCGTGGCAGCCAGGAGAGAAATAAAGTTGCACTTTTATTAAATATGTAATTGTTTCTCTCCTTGGGAGAAGCTACTGGCTTAGCTCCTCCTCCCTTTCCTTTTAATGAGAGCAGTTTAATTAGAGCTGTTGGGTGTGTGGCAGCCAGACATGAGGTGAGCGTTTTGTCTGGGGAGGATAGAGAGGGACTGTTGAAAGTTGTCCGTGTATTTTCAGTCTTTGACCCTTCTGTCTTAAGACAGTCTTAAAAAGAGAAAGTTGGCTGTTTAACTATTGTTTAGCCTCATCTCATCCTTGCAAAAGAAGTCAAAAACTAAAACACAGAATCCAAGCAAGTATTTTTTTAAAAGTCTTGAACAGACATGCTTCTGCTCCCATGCTCCCCCTTTTGGCAAACTGTGAGTTCTTTCTCAGCAAACACTGATAATTTCACAATTTCCTTTCTAGAATTGTTGGGAGACTTGAGTCACCAAACTTGGTTTACTTCTATGGAAATTCACTATTCAGAACACAGAAGGCAATTAAAGATTGCATTTCAGTGAAAGTAGTTGTTTCCGCCTAATTTTAGAGTATTAACAGCAGGTTCCTGGCAAGACTGCTGCTTAACGCTGCCCATGATAACCTAGTAAATGGTCACAGAATTTTGGAGCTTGAAAGGAACCTCACAATGCTTCATGTGGTCATTTATTAGGTTGGGACCTTTGAGTGATCTCCTTCATTCTCCCTACAGTGCAGAAATCAGTGTGGTAGCTCTCGTAGCAAATTGCTTTCGAGCCTCGGTAGAGTAACCGCAGTGCAGCTCACTCCTCAGGAGGGAGCCTGTTCCACTGTTACAGAGCACAGCCTGATTAGTTTATTGGTTCTGAAAGCGAAGCAAACTTAAAGAGGAAGGAAAATGTTTTTAAACTGCAGTTAGGCAAAGCAAGATCGAACAAACTTTGTTCCCCGAAGCTCTGTAATCATAATAATCATAATCATGATGATGGTGATACTGGCAGCTAAATCATTACTGAGCACTTAGTATGTACCAGACACTGCCCTACATGCTGTGTGTGTATGAACTAATATAACTCTCAGAATAACCCTCTGAGGTAGGTGCTATTATCCCCATTTTATAGATGAGGAAACTGAGGCACAGAAAGGCTCCACAGTATTACACAGCTAGTAACGTGGCCGAGCAAGGGTCCAAGACCTGTGCTCTTAGCTACTGTGCTGTCCTGCAGTGTGACCAATGAATATACTGGTTGTATATATCCAGGCAGGTTGATGTCCATTTATGAACTGTAGTATGTGTGAAACTATTTTTAATACTTCTTATAATTCTTTTTTTAATGTATTTGCTTACTGTACGTGAAGAACAAACTTTACTACTTTACCACTTGATTAAAAATAAACTCTACAAACCAGATGAGGGAATTATAGTAAAAATGATTGGCAAGT